TGCCAGGGTCTGCACGGTCGTTCTTCTTGAACAGCAACACAACCTCACTGGTACGTTGGCATTTCAATAATGTGCCTCGGTTCAACTGATAGTTGAAAACGATAGCCAGGATTTCACCAAACACCGCCGGTGCCACCTGGTAGAAGCAGGCAGAAAACCCGTCGGGGCCTGGTGTGCGGTGTGGGGCCATGGTTTCGATGCTGGTCTGAAGGTCTGTCCCGGTAACGTTCTCCTCAAGGGCATTCTTATCCTCGACTGTTAATTTTCTCCGTAGGACACGAAGGAAACGACGGCGTGTGGCTCGATTTGGAGGAGTGGGGTCATCCTCACGCATAACACCCGTCCAGTGGGCGACGAATTCTTTTTGGATGATGTCCGGGGCTGACAACAACGTCCCATCGCGTTGTCTCACTGATCTTACGGGAGTTTTGTAGAGGACTTTGGTCGGTGGACGGAAGAAATGGGTCGTGGAGCGCTCATTCTTGCTCGCGTGGACGTCAAAGTTGAGGTCAGAGAAGTATAATTTCCACAAGTCCTCCGATTCGAGGAAAAGTTTCTCCTCCTCCTCGATATCTTCGAGATTTGACAACCCCTCGCTGTGTAGGCGCCGCGCTTCCGCCAAGCGTACGGCGGAGGCTGTCTTTTCTCGTAAAAAATGCGGTTTGACGTGGCGGTGGGCTTCTTGGAGGAACCTCCGTGTACGTTTCTTCCAAGCATGCCACACAACGCCTGGGTTTTGTGCGTCGCGGAGGACGACGAGGAGTCTTGAAGCCTCCGTCGCGATGGCCTCTCGCACCTGAGGGTACTATAGGAGTTCCTTCGGCAGTTTCCAATATCCTTTCCCCATCGTTTGATGTGTGTCCTCTAGCACGAGTGTGTGGATCGCATGGTCACCAGCTACGTGTGCGTCCGGCCGTTTGTAGTCGCTTGAGACGTAGCAGTCTCTGACAAGGTGTGTATCGGCAAGGATATAGTCTAAGCGGGTCGTTTTGTGTGGCCCCGAATAGGTACGATCCTCATCGTGATGCATGCGCCAAGCGTCGGTCACACGTAGGGCTGCAAGCCACTCCAAACAGTTGATTCGGCCCACGGTATGTACGTGGTGTGGTTTGTCCACGTCAAGATACAGGTCAAATGGTAGGTTGAGATCTCCCATCACTACGTGTATGCTGTCCTCTGGAAAGTCGCGTGGTAGACTGTCGTAAAATGCGACCCGTTCTGTTGGTTGAACAGGTGCATATACGCAGTGGAAGTATACAGGGGTCTCCTGCCAATGGGTATTGACCACCATGTATTTGTAGGCGACGTCGAGCTCGGTCATATGCCGGGGGACTGTGTCGTCAAAGACCAGGGCGACGCCACCGCTACGATGCGCTATGTCCTCATTTAGCGCGGGGACATAATCGGGGTTGGCACGGGGGTCATTCACGGCAATGAAGCATTTCCCGTGCCCGAGA